ACACTTTTGAACCTGTGATGTTGGACAAGACTCTTGAGAGTCCTTTGACTGCAAGGAGATCAAACCAGTCAATCCTAAAGGAAATCAATCCTGAATATTTATTGGAAGGACTGATGCTGAAGCTCCAATACTTTGGCCACCTGATGCAAAGATCTGACTTATTAGAGAAGACCCTGATGCTGGGAAAGATTGAAGGCACGAGAAGCAGAGGACGACAGAGGATGAGATGGTTGGATGGCATCACCACTGAGGGATGCAATGGACATGAGTTTGAGCATGCTCCAGGAGATGGTGAAGGACAGAGAAGTCTGGCGTGCTGCAGTCCATGGGTAGAAAAGAGTTGGACACGACTGAGCAACTGAACAACAACATGTCCAACAAGATATTTGGCTACTTGAGGAAGTGATGGCTTCTCGTCTTTGACCTTCCTATCAGAGAACCCAGATGGAGGTTCGGTGCTTCTCAGCAGGATGTTAGTTATCATTTTAGGGAAGACTTTCTCACTGTGCAAGACTTCCTATTCACTGAAGGATCATCTCTGCCCTACAGGAACCTAAAGGCCAGTAGCACCTCATCCGTCCCCAACTCCCATCACTGGGGCAACCAAAACGTCACCAAACAGGTCCCAATGCCTCAAGTGAGGGGAAGGGTGAAGAACGAGGGGAGATGAGACATTGTGGGAATTCCAGAGGAAAGGGAGTGACCTACTGAACTTAGGATCCACTTCCACTCCAGAAGACCATCTGTTCATTCCCTCTTTTATTCACTTGCATCACAAACACTCACTGAGCACTTCTCACATCAGAGCACTCTGATCCCATTGTTTCATATGAGGCTGGCTGGAGGGCAGACTTTTTTCTACCGTTTACCCACCAGTCACTGCCTCTGCTATTAGCCGCACATTTTGATGAATTGCTCGGCTGAGCTCTGCAGGCAGAGTAACCCAGGCTTCAACCACAGCCAGGAGGCAAGCTGCCTGGGGCTCACCGCAGATCCTTGTGGACTTTCCCCAAGTGTGGTGGAGCAGAAAGCTGCCAACCACAGGAGTTCAGCATCACAGCTCACCCTCTGAAGAAACAGGAGAGTGGAAATTAATTCTCTCTCTTCTCAGAAAAAAGGGCTTGTGGTGGATGACCTCTAAAACATCATTTTTAAAAAAAGGAAAAAGACTCTATTTCCTTTCTAGTGCTATTATACCAATGGACCAATGGACCCCTGAGTATCCTGAAAATATTAAGCTACAACCCTCGGACTTGCATCATATAACTTTTATTCTGTATTTTTAATCTATTGTATTCTTTGACTCTTGAGAGTCCCTTGGACAGAAAGTAGATCAAGTCAGTCAATCCTAAAGGAAATTAACCCTGAATACTCATTGGAGGGATACTCACTGATACTGAAGCTGAAGCTCCAATACTTTGACCACCTAATGCAAAGAGCTGACTCATTGGGAAAGACCCTGATGCTGGGAAACATTGAGGGCAAGAGAAGAGGGCAACAGAGAATGAGATGGTTGGATGACATCACTGACTCGGTGGACTAGGGTTTGAGTAAACAGCCGGAGATAGTGTAGGACAGGGAAACCTGGTGTGCTTCAGTCAATGGGGTTGAAGAGAGTCGGACACAACTTAGCGACTGAACAACAACTTAGTTTCTTGTGAAAGTGAAAGTCACTCACCTTTGCGACCCCATGGACTATATAGTCCATGGAATTCTCTAGTCCACTCCAGAATACTGGAGTGGGTAGCCTTTCCCTTCTCCAGGGGATCTTCCCAACCCAGGGATTGAACCCAGGTCTCCTGTATTGCAGGTGGATTCTTTACCAACTGAGCCACAAGGGAAGCCCAAGAATACTGGAGTGGGTAGCCTATCCCTTCTTCAGAGGATCTTCCCAACCCAGGAATCAAACCAGGGTCTCCTGCATTGCAGGTGTATTCTTTACCAACTGAGCTATCAGGGAAGCCCTTCATGTAGTTTCTTGTAAAAAGTATATATTTGGGTCTTCTTACTTCATACGATTTTACAGTCCCTATGTTTACACCAATAACATTCACTATAGTCATTGGTGTGTTTGAATTAAAATCTACCATTTTCTTAAAAAAAAAATAAATAAAATACAACCCTTGGTAGTTCTTTACTACATGGAAAATAGAGCATTATGAAGACATAACATTCTTTTTTTTTAACATTTATTTTTATTAGTTGGAGGCTAATTACTTTATAATATTGTAGTGGTTTTCGCCATACATTGACATGAATCAGCCATGGATTTACATGTATTCCCCATCCCGATCCCCCCTCCCTCCACCCGATTCCTCTGGGTCTTCCCAGTGCACCAGGCCCGAGCACTTGTCTCATGCATCCAACCTGGGCTGGTGATCTGTTTCACCCTAGATAACATACATGTTTCGATGTTGTTCTCTCGAAATATCCCACCCTCGCCTTCTCCCACAGTACATTCTTGACCTGGGTAAAATTGTATTGAAATTCTTCTCTCACAGTAACTTGCATACCTCCTAATACTACCAGGCCAGAGCTGGCGATTGTTTAATGCCTTAGCTCTCAGGCACACCCTGCTGCTGGATCCCAGACAACCATACCAAGATGTTTTCATTTGCTCCCTGAGTCAGTCTCATGTAAAGCTTTCTTTCTGAAATTCCCAGGCTCTGGGTCTGCCACAAACCTTGGGCTTAAAGACAACAGTAAGAACAAATAAGTCAAAGAGCTGAGTGCAATAAAAAAGAAAACACCTCATTTGTGGCCCTCTCTTGCTGTTATGAGCTATTCTGTTGAAAGTTTGGGTCACAGTAAATCTTATTCATGCTGCATTCCAACCCTGGCAGAAGCACATCTGCTGAGATTTATCATTTGACCTTTGTCTCTGTATTGTTTCTAACTAAAACTAAAACAGCTTGTAAATACTTTGAAAAAAATTTTAGAGAGAATACTTTGAATATGTTTCATGTTTGATGCTAAGAAAATAGAAATATGTATGTTTTGGGGAGTGACATCTAAAAATATTAATTAGGTTTTTATGACCAATTTTTAAGCTTTTCATAAATTTTCAAAAGAACAGTAAGAATAAATGATTTCACAAGGCACTCTAGACTTCAGTACTATAATACTAATATCACATTATGTTCTCAAAATAAAAACTTGATATCTGGGTTACCAAACAATGGAGAAAAGCATGAAGTTCTCTACATGAAGTAAAATAAAATTAAACTGTTTTGAATTATTTGTGCTGTGCTTAGATGCTCAGTCATGTCTGACTCTGTGATTTGTACTTCAACGCTAATTATTACTTTTTGTTTTACTTAATCTAAAGTACATAGAAAATTTTAGAAGATAGGTCAGTTTTGCTTCAAGTTTTCTTTTTTATGACTTCTCATGAAATAGTGAATCTGATGAGAATGTTTAATTATGTACATGCTGGGGTCTTTCATACAGAGGCAGTCAGCAACATTAATGAGATTATCAAATGCCACACAAGTCAAACTTGTTGACCTGAATTAACTTATAATTGAGTATAATTGACATTATAAGGCTGTGATAGGAAAAAAATATCTGCAGGTGGACCCACATAGCTTGTAAGTGCTGAAATCTTCAGAAATGTGATAATAAAGTCTACATATTTGGGTATTAAAGATGAATGTCCCAAAGCTTGTTTTTAGAGCCTTGTATACTTTGTTATGATGCATGCATAAACTAGAAGAGAATATCTCCTTCAAAAAGGAACATGGTCAAAGATAATTAGGATTGTATGTCCAGCTTCACAGTAGAATGAAAAAAAAAAAAAATGGACCACTCCAGAGATATATTGTCTCATTTTTCTCAAAGCAATTTTCTAGGGAATTGGAATATGAGAAACTATAAGATAGAGAGAAAATTCCATAAACTGGGCAATTTTCAGTTTACCAAAGAGCTCTGTTGCAAAGAAGTGTTTGAATGTGGTTGCATGGTCCTCTTTGGGGTTGAAAATAGTTTTTGGAAGCCTAGGTAAGTTGATCTATACAATAGTATTGCCATATTAGGAAAGTTTCAAGCTATACTTATCCACTATGGGCAGGGGGCTTATCGAACAATGGCCTTCTAGATTGCAGAATTAAAGAAAATACATCTGTCTACATATTACACCCAATCCTATGATAGTAGAGGTGACCTTTGACCCCCAGGGCAGCAATGACAGTGACAGATGTTGTATGGGGGATGCTTTTCAGATAGCAGCAAAGACAGCTCATGTTTTAGTGACCAGATAAGAAAACAAGTGTAAGCCCACATTCCAGAAATCAAATTACCTGGGCATAGATATGTGAAGGTAGTCCACATTATCTATTTGAAAGAAGGCATCACTCAGTCTCCCTGGGTCAGACTTTCCCAGGTTTCGACATCATCTAAATACAACGGACAGCAAACACAAATAGGCTTTGTCAGCAGAGTAGAAAGAACCTGAGTCTAGACATGCACGATGCAGAGCTAGATTCTCTCCTCTGCTTTGCTCATGTATGCTCAGTCACTCAAGTCATGTCCAACTCTCTGTGACCCCATGGACTGTACCCCAACAGGCTCCTCTGTCCATGGAATTCTCCAAGCAAGAATACTGGAGTGGGTTGCCATTCCCTTCTCCTTGGAACCTTCCCAACCCAGGAATCAAACCAGGGTCTCTTTCATTGTGGAGAGATTCTTTACCATCTGAGCCACCACGGAAGCCCCACAAAAGCGCTAAGGAAGAGAGAATTTGCTTTGTCTGTCTGAGCTAGAACATCTATCTTCTCCTGTCCTTGGGCGTCAGTCTTCCTGGTTCTCCAGCTTGCCAACAGCAGGTGGGGCCTTCTCAGCCTCCATAATCACGTAAATCAATTTCTGTAATAAATTTCCTCATATACATATATAATACATTACATATATAAAGATATACAAATATATATTATAATGGTTCTAGTCCCCTGGAGAACACTAATACAGGCTGAATCAGTCCTTTCAGACAAAAGTAGCCTCAATCTATTCTGTTCCTTAAATCATCACAGAAAATTTCCAAAATCTTCTTCCAGTAAACTTCACAACTTATTCAGATAAAAGTGGATACTGAGTTTGATCACGCCAGCCATTTGGTAGAAGAGTATAATTACAGAATAGCGACCACCGTGGCTTTACACTGGAGTGAAAAGCAAATGGAGTGGTAGAAAGAAACACGCATCTACTCTCAAGCTCCAGGTAGTCATTTTAAACAATGATTTGGGAAGTAGACAGTTCAGGATGGATCACCTGTGCGCCTAAATTAACGTCAAACTGGTTTTCTGGAACGGCACCTTTTATGCACCTGTTTTAACCACCGTGCAGTGCCATAAGGTGTGAGTGTCTGATACCACTTTTCTCTTATGTCAAGGAAGTGGCTGCTTTGGAAATTTCACACGGCTCCTTCCTCAGCTACATGGGTGGGAAAGTCCAGATCATAAAACACTGCTCCAGGTGGCCTCTGAGAGCCTCCATAAGAGTGTCACGCTCACAAAAATACAACTGAGGAGAGAATTCACGACGTGACACAGGCAGATGGTGGTCACAGGAGCAGCAGCGCAGACACCATTAGGTTGTAATTTTACCGTCATAATGGACAGCTGAACAGATAAAGCTGCAGCTGGGGTCGGCAGAGGGAGGGTCTCCAGGCTGAACGTCAGTATGTCAGCCTCAATGTCTGCATCTTCGTCTGCAGGAAGAGATGGATGCGGAAAGCACAAGCAACAAATGTAACTAAACATGGTGCTAAGTTATCATCGATTGTATCTTATTATATGAACAGGCCCAGTGCAATAATATAGGTTAGAAGCACAAGCTAGCAGTTGTCAGATCTTGGGAAGCACCAAGAAAGCTTGGGAACCAAGTGGGCAAGGAGGAATAAGGGACCATCTAATAAGGTGTCCAAGTTTCTCTTGCTGTATTATTAGCATCCTGCTATATCATTATCTTTCATTCTTTCTGCTTCTAAGAGATAGAGTTTTACGTGGACTCCCCTGGTGGGCTAGTGGTTAAGAATCCACCGATCCTCTGTCCAGGAAGATCTCTCATGCTGTGGAGCAGCTAAGCCCATGAGCCACAACTACTGAAGCCTGCACGCCTAGAGCCTGTGCGCTCCACAAGAGAAGCCACCGCAATGAGAAGCCAGAGCACAACAACTAGACAAAGCCCAAGGGCAGCAACAGAGACCCAGCGAAGTAAAAAATGAAAATTAATTAATTGTCCATTAATTAATTTTTTTAAAAGAAATAGAGTTTCACACATATGACTTAAAAGTCTTAACTGTAACCAGTTGAAGGGCTGAAGATGACATACCTACTCTTCTGTCAATATTGGCTCAGTAACTGGGGTGGATCAGAATAGGTGGAGGAGGACAATGATTCCAGGGATGAAGGAAACAGAGATGAAAGCAGCAGAAGATGGGGTGGGGAGGAAGGTATTTTCCTTTCAGCATTCTGCAACAGTTGCTTGTGATGCTAATAATTCACCATTAAGCTAAACAATCCAAACATCCTCATTTTTCCTTCTGAACAATTTCCAAATTAGCATTCCCTTGAAGTTGAACTGTACATTTCTCAAAATGTTTCACTCTGAGAAATATGAAACTATCACCTTTTTTTTGTTTAAATATATCTGATCAACGCTGCCCAGACAGGATTGCCACATATCATGCTTACATTTACGCATTGCAATATTTGCTGCTTAAAGAATATTACACTGCTGATTTGGCTTTTGTCTGTTGTTTATTACTGTTCAAATTCTTATCTCCAGGACTTTCTTGCAAATTGTCACTGCTGCATGCAATGGAGTTTATACATGAATATGTAGTTTAACCCTGTCAAAAACATCATTCCCCCTACATTTGAATGTGATGGAAAAAAATAAGTCCAATTACCAAGAACTCCCAGAAATGTTCCAAGGATTTGATTCCTCAGGGTTACAGATGAAGCTTATGAAATCTGCCATGACTTATTGCACTATTTTTTCACTCATATTTACTGCAACTCGGACAATCTATTCCTAATATCATCTGACTTTCCACTGCTATCTTGGGTTAAGTTACATCGCATTAAATGCTGTCTTTACAGCACTAATTCCGTCATGTGGCTGCGAATTCCCCTCTATAAGGTCAGCCTCCAGTACTCACTTGAGCACCTTAGACAAAATTGTGGCTACTTGTCCATCAGTATAATTCTGATGCCTGTGGAGTAATGGTTCTCTCCTGCGTTTCCTTTCATTACAGGTCACGGAAAGCACATAGGCAATGCAGGTGAAACTACTCAAATCTAAACTTCAGATGACCTCTTAATTAAACATAATGCAAAATACATAGCAAATAAAGAAGTATATTTCTATTCATAAACAAAGAGCTTAAACTACCATTCTCCTAAAGGACATTTTAAACCTTTCATTGGTTTTTTTTAATCAACATATCAAAAGCAAACTAAATTTTATGATGACTAAAAATATAAAAAGTATAAAACTTATATGTCTGAAATACATTTAAGTATAATTATCTCTTCAGCTTTAGTATAGTCCTCTAAAATATGCAAATAGTATAATTTCTTCAATACAATGGAACAAAAATAAAGCATCATGAATTAGAATCCATCCACATTTTAAAATACCAAGCTAGTTTATTATTAATAAAGAAAAACAAACCAAGAAAAACAATATTTTGTACTTGCGTTGTCTTAAAAGAAAATTGAGCCATTATTTATATCTTAATACCCCCAAATCCCTGCCTTCCAGTAGAAGTATCATCAGTAGTGAAGGAGTTAAAAAGTGTGTACAAAGACACTCTAGGACTAGTCAAACTAACATATTAATAATAGATGACCAATGCTCCTCTGTATGGTGTAGTCCGTGAAATGTTACAAAACGTGAAGTCTCCCACTTGTGAAACGCTTCAACAGACAGATCCCTGAGGATGACTCCATCTATATTTCCAACCACAGCTCTCTTTTAGATGAAAAGGCTGTGAAGAACCTTTGCAGGCTTCCTAATGGGTCAGTGGCTTTATCTAATGCTTTCCCCTAATCGGCCCTGCATTTAAGACACTCAGTCAATGATGTGGCTGCAATATTTAGATCTTTGACAATCATACCCTCCCAGGCCAGGAAAGAGTTTCCCATCAGAAAGCAAAAAGGATTCGTGGCTTCAAGTCTTAGAGAGAGAGAGGGGAAGGTTAGTAGAGGTCCCAATGGTATTAGAAGATTCTATCTGGACAGTGCAAGCATTGTCAGAAGTGGTTCATCTGCTGAAGAAAGTAGAGCATGCAAAAACTGTAGAATATCTGGTGTGTATAAACCTTGCATTTCATTCTTTTGTTTCAGGATAAATTGGGGTGCTTCCTGAGAGACTCTAAAAATACAAATCCATCATGAAGAGAGCCACCTCTACTAACAGAAATGGAAGAGAAAAGAAGTCTGCAATGCTGCTTCATGTTACTTAAGTCACTTTGATCATGGTTTAAAAATCACATTTTATGTAAAGAAACAGCTTGCTTAAATAACTACTCTTTCCAGCAGGTTTGGCCTGAGCCCATAGAAACAACTCTCTTTTCAAATTCAGTCTTAAGGTAACACACACAAAAAATTGTTATCCTCATTTCTGATGGCTTAGTTGTTGTTCAGTCACTATATCGTCTCTGACTCTTTACGACCCCATGGGCTGCAGCACACCAGGCTTCCCTGTCCTTCACCATCTTCCGGAGTTTGCTCAAACTCAAGTCCATTGTGTTGACAATGCCATCCAACCATCTCATCCTCTGACTCCCCTTCTCCTCTTGCCTTCAATCTTTCCCAGCATCAGGGTCTTCCCATGAGTCAGCTCTTCTTATCAGGTGGTCAAAGTATTGGAGCTTCAGCTTATGCGTCAATCCTTTCAATGAATACTCAGGGTTGATTTCCTTTAGGATTGACTAGTTTGATCTCCTTGCTGTTCAAGAAACTCTCAAGAGTCTTCTCCAACACCACAATTCAAAAGCATCAGTTCTTTAGCACTAAGCCTTCTTTATGATTCAATTCTCATATCCATACATGACTACTGGAAAAATCATAGCTTTGACTATATGGACTTTTATCAGCAAAGTGACATCTTTGCTTTTTAATATGCTTTTTTTGGATGGCTTAAGCCATATCCTAATATTTGATTTCAACATATAGCAGAATGTCTCCATATTTTAGTTTTCTCATCAGTAAATGGGAAAAAATATCAACATCTGCTTCATGGAGGTGCTATAAGAAAGAAACAAGTGAACTGAGGGGTCAACAGGGTTTTATTCCAAATTGTAACAATGATTACTTTTTAAAATTCAGAAAACAAACTTTATGAGACAAACATATTTTAGTGTGCTCTCAAATATTCTTGCCTGAAGAATTCTGATGGGAAACTCTTTCCTGGCCTGGGAGGGTATGATGTCAAAGATCTAAATATTGCAGCCACATCATTGACTGAGTGTCTTAAATGCAGGGCCAATTAGGGGAAAGCATTAGATAAATGCTTCTCCGTCTACAGACAGAGAAGCCTGGAAGGCTACAGTCTGTAGGGTCGCAAAGAGTCGGACACGATTGAGTGACTAACACACACACACAAGTAAATCACCTTTTCACAATCTCCTGCAAGATCAAATATTTAGTATTTCACTGTGGGGACAATAGAAAATTGAAGCTCATCCCAACCTTGGAAGCTCATCCCAACCCTGGTGGAAGAGGGCATTTTGCTCTTTTTGTCATTGACTGCAGGACTTCACAACCCTGGGGAAGATGTGAGGACCAACAAGTAGACAGCTGGGGCAGCTGGGCACAGAAGAAAGTCCTCCTTCCACCCCAGGAATCCAGCATCACTGATCAGGCAGAAACAACTTACCTCTCAGTGGGGATTCCAGAGTCTAGTCCAGAGGTCCCCAATGTCTGAGATCGAATGCCTGATGATCTGAGGTGCAGCTGATGTAATCATAATAGAAATATAGTGCACAATAAATGCAATGTCCTTGAATCATCCCCAAACCACTCCCAACCCCCAGTCTGTAGAAAAACTGCCTTCCAAGAAACCGGTCCCTGGTGCGAAAAAGGTAGGACTGCTGGAGTCACCTAGAAGTGAAATCATGATCAACTCTGGATCATTTAGTCACAAATCAGTTATCAACTCCAATGTTTCAGTAGGTCCAAAAGCTATTATAATACAAGGAGTTTGCAGTGGAATTTTTGAAAATAAAAACTTCTCCATTGTGTATACAATTTTGCAGATACACTGGAAGCATTAAATAAAACATTTAGGTTAAGAATATACTTTTTACTCAAGCATTAATTAGTTACATTAAGAACTTACAAATCAGTTCCCTACATGTCCAAAGGAAAAAAAATAGGCTTTCCTCTATGAATGCCCCATCCCAGTGGCAGTTGGTAAATCATTAGTAACTGGTTCTGGGGGGTGAGCGGAGGGCCCTGATTGGAGTTTGTATATCTCTATGATGTGAATACTTACACCATAATAGATTTTGAGCTACCAATATGATGTCACTGGCTGTAGAATTGGAAAGTGATGCTGAGCAGCACAGTGTTACATAGAATTTCTACCATACCATCATAAATGTAAAATCACCCCTAAAGTACAGACAACAGAGCAATGCAGTAAAATAATTAGGGAGGATTGAATTTGGGATACTTATTACTTCTGCTTTTAATATAATTTAAAATTTATATAATTAATGTTTAATAAAGGCTGCACTTAACAACTGGCTCACAGAATTTCTGGAAACATAACAGTAAATTTTCCCTGGTTGGTACGAGCTGGCCCTAGTATGGTACTGCCTCCAGCTGCTACTCATCATCCAGATAAAAGGCAAATGTATAGAAGACAGAATAGAAATCAAGGATGAGAAGTTCCACTTAAATATAAGGAGGATTTGGCTACTTGCAAAAATTTCCATTCTCAGAGAAAGTTTAAGAATCAACATCAGGGTCTTCGGTAATGAAGATTCAGACGCTGACTTGCTATAGTGATAAAGACAGATCTAGACCATTTCTTAGAAAACAATGAGAGCTGCTCAATCATGTCCAACTCTTTGCAACCCTATGGCCTGTAGCTTACCAGGTTCCTCTGTCCATGGGATTTCTCAGGCAAGAATACTCCAGTGGGTTGCCATTTAAGGACCCCTCAAAGCTAAGATATGATACCTTTCATAAACTATAATTTGAAAGAGCTCCCTCATCAAGAATTTATATTTTAAATACAAATTGACAATCAGTTGCTACTAATGAGAATTTTATATTTCCCAGTTTCTTAATTATGATCAGTCACAGATAGTTATCAGAACAGGAAACACAACTTGAGTACAGAGCATTCCACTCTGTACCTTAATTAACCAATTAACCAATCAACCTGTGTTGCCTGGGGTTTCCCACAAGCAAGCACTTATTACACCATATATTAATCAATACCAAACTCCAACCATGTCTCTAATGACTACAATAGAGAGAACCTGTCAGAAATAAATCTAAAACTTATCATCGCACCCACTGAGTTCCTCTCTTACAAGAATCGGATAGCTACAGTCATATTCTAATACCTCTCGGAATAGCTACAATCCTATTCCACTACCTGTTAATAAAGGAACTGGGCCTCTGTATGAAGCCATTCTTAGTGCAAGTACCTGAGACAGAGTGAAGAAACTCAAACATTTAATTCTACTTAATGAAGTTAATCAGGAAAACCATTCTAAGGAGTGGTCATCTACGCAGGGAAAAAAAATCTAGAAAAACAGAACAAGTTCATCAACATTGCCATGATCTTGCCCCTCCTTCATTTAACAAAAGACCCTTTAATTTTTGCAATCAGAGCCCTTTTTAGTACCGCCACTCCTGCTTGCTCACCGGCCTTCACCCTCATCTCTGTTTCCCAATAAACACATGTGTGTGTGCTGTGTCTTCATTCGTGTCCAACTCTTTGCGACCCCCCTGGACTGTAGCCCACCAGGCTCCTCCATCCAGGCTCCTCAGTATTCTCCAGGCAAGAATACTGGAGTTGTTTGCCACACCCTCCTCCAGGGGATCTTCCAGACCCAGGGATCAAACCCATCTCTTCAGTCTTCTGCATTGGCAAAAGGTAGCTTTACCATTGCTCCACCTAGGAAACCCTAACTCAGATAATTCTCCAAATTGAGGAACTAGGGATGCTCTTACAAAAGTTAAACAGAACAATTGACTAGTTCAAGGGTTTCACCGTCCCTAATTCCGTGATCCAGTAAAACTCAAGGTTTTCACCTGATTTTTTTTTAACTATGCCATCTTAAAATATCTGCTCTCTAATACTTTACCTACACCTACAAAGAATTTAACAAAGAGTGGATATATGTATATATATAACTGATACACTTTGCCATACAGTAGAAAGTAACACAGCATTGTAAATCAACTATACACAGACAAAAGTTAATTCAAAAAAAGAATGTTTAATTAAAGGACATTTAGGGCCTATCTCCTGTTTTATTTTAGTATCTGCCAAATATATCAAATAAAAATGTAAATTAGATAGTTTGTGCTATGTGTCATTTGTTTGTTCCACTATTTAACTGGCATTTTGAATACGAATCTTTGATGAAGTGCTATCTTTTGGTCTAATGTTGCATTCTGTTATAAATGCATGAAGATTCACACACATTAACATCAATTAGAGCTAATGTGCATTAAAAGCATGAATTTTTGATGCACCTAAGAGGGAAGGTCCACTTTAACTTCATCAAATATTTGTCAGTTTCCCAAATTTGACACTCAAAATATCTTCAAAACTGTGTGAAAAATCTCTTTTCAAAATTAATGTTAAAATTATTTTGAAATGTAACATAAAAAATATTACGAGAACATCAAAACAAACAATTAAAAAGATAACCATTTGTGGTTTTCTTCTTAACCTTCTCATTTTTTGCCTAAATTACTATAAATCCTAGTTTACCTAAGAATGAGCTTTACTTTTAAAATGATTAATACATTTATTCTACTATTTCATGTCATCTCCACAGTGATACTCATCAGCTAACTTTCAAAATGCAACACTAAAAGGCACCCAGTTCTTCAGCCCCATGCCAGGGTGCTCCTCATGGCAAGTGGATTGAGTTGGATTTCTGCCCAACACATAACACCCGTGCTCACACAACACACACATCTTTCTATTAAGGCTCTGATAAAATATGCTCTGCTTCTTATCTTCCTGGATTCCTCAATTTTGCTGATCATCTGTCTGTACCACTTTTCTTTCCATCACAACTATCACTTCATTCTTTGGGATCTTGGGAAGAATGGAAGGTAGATGCTTCTATGACTTGTCATCTTGTTGTGAAAGCCCTCAAATTTTGTGTTTTCCATTCTGATTTTTATCTTTAAAGAGTACTTTTTATTAAGCATTTGAATCCTGCTTTTTAAAGCAAGATACACTTCACTGATGAAAACAAATGCTTAAAAAAATTGTCAAAAGATACATAAATAAACCTGCTTTATTTTCTACTTTTGCAAGGAAACCACACAGTTATATTAATATGTATCTAATGCCAAATCTTAATATTAACTCAAAATTTCTTATGCTTACATTTGAAATTCTTCTTTTATATAATCTGGATAATTGTTCAAATGTTTCCTTGAGACCCAAAATGGACATTGTAAAATTCGTAAGAGAAAAATGAAAAAAACATAAACAAAGCAGCTCGTTTTTTAAGAAAAGAAAGTACTACTAAAGTTCGGGGGAAAGAAAGCAATTTATTTTTCAACATCTTATGATTAGGATTATCCTCTTGGAAATAATCAGAATGGAAATGATTTTGTTAAAACTAGGGACAATTAAAAAAAAATAGCACTTGATATGTGCTTCTCCGATGGCTCAGCAGTTAAGAACCCATCTGTAACGCAGGAGACACAGGAGACAAAGGTTCGATCCCTGGTTGGGAAGATCCCCTGGAGGAAGGCATGGCAACCTATTCCACTATTTCTGCCTGGAGAATCCCACAGACACAGGAGCCCGGTGAGCAAAAGTCCATTGGGATCACTTGAACATAAGAATTTGTGGGGAAAACAATTCAACATAGAAGCCCATAAGAATACATTTCTTAAGCAAATTTGATAACTCTGCACACATAAATAACAAAAGAGCTATAAAGGGATTCGGGTTTGTAGAAAAGCGGCTAATGCAGAATACTGTAATGATTTTAGTACCTATCACATTTTAATGAAAGTCTCTCCATTAGACAAACATTTAATTTCCCTAACCATTTCTAAGTTTTGTAAGATGAACCAGAGTATTTAAATGTAGAAAAAGAATAGAAACTAAATGGTTACAAATTATATTGTTCAGGAGAAGAGAAAAAGCTGCTTTAAAAAATCTAAGACAAAACTATCAGTTTATCTACATAGTAAAATAAAGGTATTTCTGCATTTACTGCCAGATAGCTATGATAACTGAGTGGTTCATTTCATAAAACTTTGTTTAAAAACATGTTGCCACAACTATGCCACCAGGACACCTCTCAACACCTTTTGTCTCAGCATCACAGTGACACATGGGATCACAGATGGTCTGAATGTGGAGTAGAGAGAAAGTTAACTGATTTTTCACAATGAGAAAGAAAAATCACTAGCTTGATTTCATTTGACAGGATGTTCTCTAAAATAAAAACATAGCAACCATCATGGTGTTAAAAGTTGCTTGAAGATTTCTGCTACTGTAGATATGGAAAGCAAGAGTTGGGAATTTTCAGCCATCATAAAAATATGGCAATCACCTATCCATAAAGTGATGCAATGCAGGATGCAATCAATCTCTCCTGGTAATGTCTACCTCCAGGGGCAAAGCTGCTCCTGTGATGTGGATAAGATGTTGAAAGTTCTGTGGGTACAATCCCAAGCTAAGTTCAACACTTTACCGAGACAGCTGTAAGCCACAGCACTGTTTACAATAGCCAGGACATGGAAGCAACCTACATGTCCATCAGCAGACGAATGGATGAGAAAGCTGTGGTACATATACACAATGGAATATTACTCGGCCATTAAAAAGAATGCATTTGAATCAGTTCTAATGAGGTGGATGAAACTGGAGCCTATCATACAGAGTGAAGTAAGTCAGAAAGAAAAACACCAATACAGTATACTAATGCATATAGATGGAATTTAGAAAGATGGTAACAATGACCCTATATGCAAGAAAGCAAAAGAGATACAGATGTAAAGAACAGACTTTTGGACTCTGTGGGAGAAGGCAAGGATGGGATGATTTGAGAGAATAGCATTGAAACATGTATATCATCATATGTGAAACAGATCACCAGTCCAGGTTCGATGCATGAGACAGGGTGCTCAGGGCTGGTGCACTGGGATGACCCAGAGGGATGGGATGGGGAGGGAGGTGGGAGGGGGCTTCAGGATGGGGACACATGTA